GCCTGCCGCAATTGTTCTTACCACACGCAGCACGCGCACCGCCCAAACAAGGTTTTCCTTGGTGATGGAAAAAGTTGGGCCTGTCTCATGAGGCCGGCCAGAGACATCAGAGTCAAGAGTACAACAGACAAAGGGTTTTGTGGGTTGCTATCCGGTGGGTGGTTCCAATGGGGGTCGCGACACTCTCGCCGTACGCATGCGGCAGAGACATCCAGCGCACTTTCTCCTCGGGCCCGGCCGATGGCGGTCCTCCGCTTCAATGACCGAATGGATTCCAATGCCGGAATCTTCGTTGCCATGTTTCGCATCATACACCATCCACCATCAACCGCTCTGCCGCTCCGGCCCATGATGCCTCGTGGCGAACGAATGTTCTCCCGACACGAAACATTGTTCATTGCAGAATTCTGTACATTGCGCTAGTATGCCTCTTCTTTGCGACTCTGCACTCTCTCGTGTCTCAGCTTGGGAGGGCCTCCCTTCAGGCACCACTGCCGTGGACTCGCTGCGCTAGACTCGATGCCCCAGGCCCCATGTCTCAACGTCTCACATTCCCTTCATGGACGCCTGATTGGGGGGGACACACATGACTTCACAGTGTGTTCCATCCTCCGACGAGACCCTGCTACCCTGATTTCTCGCTTCCTCCGCACGCTCGCCCGAGGCAACGTTGGCCTCCCTCCACCGTTGCAGTCTTCGAGCAACGAGCCGCCTCTCCTTCTCCCCTCCGTGTTCCTCGATAATGTCCAACACCCAGGATATCCGACGCGTCCTCCCAGGCTCGCACCTCTTGAGCTCCCGTAAGCCTACAGTCACCACCGCCAAGACCACCCTGTGCTCGAGCTCGATCTCATGTGCCCTGAGCCACGTAACGCACCGCCCCACGTTACGTAGTATGGTGCTGTCAGTGAGATGTTTTGCCTCTGAAAACCAGACTGCCATATTCTGAATCAGCTCGATCCTCGTCTTCTTCCATCGCTCTGCCTCTGCCAAACGCCGCTCGTACGGCAGCTGTCGTGCTACGTTCTTCCGTGTATCGACCCGGCGCCAGTCCTGCTTCCACCGAAAGTCGGCCACGGCCCCACTGCGTACCACCTTCCAGACGATGGCGGGGTTGATGGACTCATCCTTGATCATGCCCTCCACGTAGCGCGGCCAGGCCTTCCAATCCCATTGTTTGAGGATCTGCTTGTCCCTCTCGGACTGGGGCAACCACTGCCACCATTGCCGCTTTTTGCCATCCAGGCGATCTGCATGGTTCTCTAATATCGAAAGTGTGGTAAGAGCGAAACGGTGATCGCCGCCCGCCTTGGCCAGCAGCGAGAACGGAATGATAGGGAGGCGTGTGTTGACTTGACAGTAAGCTCGCATGGAATCAAACAGTTCCTCTTGACGCCCGAAGCGACGCAAGAATTTCAGTAGGCTTAGCAGGATCCATACGGTCTTGGCGATGTAGTTGAGGGGGGTGTTGTAGCCGATTTTGACGACCAGCGCGGCCAGACTGAGGTCAGGACGGCCGGCGCAGTCGCGTGGCCATGCAGCAACCCCCTCTCCATGACTTTGCAGATACCCACGGCTCGTCCATTGGTGAAAGAGAAGCTCGCTGAGATGTCGACCGGCGGGCCCAAGCAAAGACTGGTCGAAGTAGGCCGATCTGACGCAAGCGTCCAGCAGGTAGTCCTGCCTTACCAACGGCATGTGCGCCAAGATCTGCAACCAAAATAATTGACGCGTCTGGTTCCGAGTCTTTCTCATACTTTCGTGAATGGCAGTTTCCAACTTGCCGAGTAGTGCGTTGTGGTCCTCGGGAGATAGCCTGCGGAGCGCGACGCCAATGTCCGCGGGCCGCGTGCGCCACTGTAGGCTGGCCGCCATTAGGCTTTGCACTGCCGCAACAACGCCCTCGTGGACATCATCGATGTAGGAGAGAGGAATCGCATCGAGTATGGTTTGAACCAGCGGTAGACTTGTGTGCCCCCCGAGCAGCTGAGATGCCTGTATTAGGACCTGGTTCCAGAAAGTGTCTTTGAAATCCGCAGCGCTGAAACGACTGGACGATTTGATGCCGCTGACCACGGCCGAGAGGAATTCCCTAATGGCAGTGTCGACGACCTTCCGGTCGGCTTCTGCGTTGGCGAGGGACAGTGGGAATGTCGAGACAGCCATCACCACCGCATCGGAGTCCAGTGCGCCCGACTTGATGTCCTGCTCAAGGTGCCGCGTGAAGCTCCAAAATGCCGGGTCCATCGCTTGCGGTGTAGAGGCAGCAACGGCCAATCGAGCCTGCGAGAGCCTTTCCATAAGGGGGTCGGCCGGTAGAGTTTCCCTCCCGTCGTCTTCTTGGGCTTTTTCTTCACCGGTAAGGGCCCCCATCATCATCTGTATCACCGTCCACGGTGTAGTCGACTCTGCTGGCGCCGGCCGGTCTTTCTCATCGTGCAGATCGTTTTCCCCGCTCGACTGACGAGGAGTCGGCGGCTGCCACTTCCACTTGCTCAGGTCGACGGGGAATTCCATAGCCCAGGGCGGCAAGGTCGACTGGTGATCGAGGTACATGGCCGTCATCTTCCGCCTCCCAAGCCGCTTCCTGCTCTCCAGCGGGCCAGGCGTGGAGCTCGAATTCCGTCGCGCGAGGTGCGATACATGGCAGTATCGCTCAAAGGCGCTCGTGAGCAGCCCATCCGTGATCCATATCGCTTCTATCGGTGCTCGAAGCTGCTGGACGGCTCGGGTGCAGCGCGCGGTCGGTCGGGAGGACATTGGGACGCTCGACTCGCATCCGACTGTTCATTGATTGATGGAATATAATGCGCCTGTTCCATGCCTAGCGAGCAAGGTCGGCAGCGTCAATTCGGACGTGGGTTTGGCGGTCAATTGGGTCGCTTTGGCGCGTTTGAATCGCTGTATCGTGGGGTTCGAATTGGCAGGGAGGTCAGCAAGTTTGGAAGAGCTTGTATTCGCCGACCCACTATTCGTTGCAGCCACGACCTCAGTGCGGTCGGGTGTGGCTAAGCCGCTCCGGCCGGCTACCTCGGCGACGCCCTGCGACTGGACAGGGGGGAAGCTTTGGCGGGGTTTTCAGCGGTCGCGGATTACGCGGGGCATCTTTCACCCAGAGAGGATCTACACCGGCACATCCAGACATCACAGACGCCGGCCGACCAGACAAGATGGAGTTGACATTTGAGCCATTGAAGAACGACCTGCTGCTGCGGGCAGCCCGCGGTAAGCACAAGCTTTCAATCGCTGCAATTGAGACGCAGACTAACATGACGATGCAGGCGAGACGGTCGAGCGCCCGCCATGCTGGATCATGCGGCAAGGTAAGGACCCCTCGGACCAGCACCGTGGACAACGAAGAAAAGACAGCAGCTTACTCCAGACAGCCGGTCGTTATCTCCCCGAGTACCACGAGGCCAAGGGCAACCGCGACTTCTTCGCCTGCTGCCGCGATCCCGAGATTGCCAGCACATTGACCCTGCAGCCCATCGAGCGCTTCGCCGGTCTCCTCGACGCTGCCATCATCTTCAGCGATATCCTCGTCGTTCCCCAGGCCCTCGGCATGTCCGTCGAGATGGTTGACAAGAAGGGACCGCACTTCCCCGACCCTCTGAAGAGCCCTACGGACGGCCAGTACGAGCAGGTCATGGCCAAGAACGTCGACGTCGCCGCCGAGCTCGACTACGTATACAAGGCCATCACCCTCACGCGCAAGAAGCTCGCCGGCCGCGTGCCCCTGATTGGCTTCTGCGGCGCCCCGTGGACGCTGTTCTGCTACATGGTCGAGGGTGGCGGCACCAAGCTTTTCATCCACAGCAAGACGTGGATCTACAGATACCCCGAGGAGTCCAAGAAACTGCTGCAGAAGATTGCCGAGGTCTGCGTTGAGTACCTCGCCCTGCAAGTCAAGGCCGGAGCACAGGTATGTCTTCTTTCCGCACTGCGACGTCTCCCTTGTGACTGACAGCTGTCCCAGAGCATCATGGTCTTTGACTCGTGGGCTGGCGAGCTCGGCCCGGCTGCCTTTGAGGAGTTCAGCAAGCCTTACCTCTCCTACATCTCCGCGAACCTCCCCAAGAAGCTGCAGGAAATGAACCTCGAGCGCGTGCCCATGACTGTCTTCCCCAAGGGCTGCTGGCATGCCCTCAACACGGTCTGCGACATCGGCTACGACGTCGTCGGTCTCGACTGGATGCAGAGCCCTGCCGACGCTGTCAAGATCCGCGGCGACAGACGCATCACGTTCCAGGGCAACGCCGACCCCGGCGTCCTCTACGGCACACACGAGAACATCACCAAGGCGGTCGAGGAAATGGTCAATGGCTTCTGGGGCCAGAAGAAGGGGTGGATCGCCAACCTCGGACACGGTGAGTCGATACACGCGGATTCGTATTGCGTATCAACGGAAGAACGGGCGTGGCTAATACTTGGCAGGCATCACTCCGGGTGTCAACCCCGAGGACCTCAGATTCTACTTGTCTGAGATCCACCGTCTGACGAAGAACTAAAAAGGTGTTAGGGTACGGAAGAACACATGAACCATTATTCGAGAGATGTCGCGGGCGTATAAAAGGTGTTCGTCTGGGAGGGGCACATCTCTACTGGTCTTACTAGAGACGGCATAGGTATAGACCAAAAATCGCATCTCAATATCATTTGTTGCAAGCCAAGAGCTGTCGGGCAATATGTGGACAGCATGTGATGCTTTTAAATGAGAGAAGTGATGACATGAATATTTGCTTTTCCTTTCCGTCCCTCGGTTTCATCAAATAGCTGAATATGGTATCGTAAACTTTTTTTGTGTCGTTTCAACTTTTTTCGTTGCCCATTCCAAACGCCCCAGGGAGACCATCTTTGATGTTCTTCCCTGTTTCCAATCCCCAAACTCCGTCGCCAATGTGCATGACCCGACGTCCCCAGAAGAGGTGATTAAGTCGAATTGGTCATTATCATAATCGCTTGAAAAGCTGTGCATGGAAAAGAAATAGAGAAGAAAGCGCTTATGCCTTCTTGGTCAGGTTGTTGAGCCACTGCTTGCCCTTGGCGGCGAGGCCGTTGCCGTCCTCGGGGCTGCGGCGGCCGCCGGTGGGCGAAGGCGTCTTGCGCAGCGAAGACTCGTCGTCCTCGACGGCGGCTGTGGCCTCGGCCTTGGCCTTCTTCGCGGCAGCCTCCTCCTCGGAGCCGGTCTTGAAGACGTTGGCGGCGCCTCCACGGCCGTAGTGGGTTGCGCCGTTGCTCTCTCGGCGGGGGACGCTGTGAGGGGGGCATGTTAGTCACAAGGGTGCTTCTTGCGGGCAAAAGTGGCGGATGGGACTCACCCCTCGACGTCCTGGCGCAGACGGGTCTCGTAGGGGTCGGCGTTCTTGGCCATGTTGCCGGAGCCGCCGCGGCCGGTGGTGACGACGGAGGTCTTGAGGGTCGGGGTCTCGAGGTCCTTGGGGGTGACCTTGGGCGACTTGGTGCTATCGGCCATGTTGCCGGCACCGCCGCGGCCGTGGGAGGCAAGCATCGTGAGGATGTGCGAGGAAATGTGTGGTGTTTGGGCTTGATGTCTATCGAGTCGCTTTTGCGACGCGCAAGTCTTTTGCTTGGGGAGGTATGTATGGGTCGTCGATGAGCCGGGCGTGGGTCGGAATAAGACCGGGGCGAGGGGTGACAAGAGCGCGGGGAGCGTTTCTCGGGACAGAGGGCGATCGATGCGGTGTGGTTCAAGAGTTGATGGCAAGACGACAACGCAGAAACACTGGAACTCCTGGAATCAAATTCTGGTGACAGTGCGATACGGGTGGGTAGTGTACCGGCGGCGACGACGGACGGGAGACAAAGGACTTAAATAGGAACGTGGAGGCACAGCAGCAGGCAGTTTTACTCGGTCTTTGTTTAAGCTTCGTTTGGTGGTGGTGGTGGGAGGAGGACGGAGGCAAGGATGGCATCGGCATTGGCATTGGCATCTCGGTCATGGCCGCAAGCAGATGTTGCGCGACCTTTCCCATGTACGGCGTAAGCACATCCTTGGCCTGCTCCTCCAGCCTGACGTAGGTTGCGCCAACAAGTGATCACAAGGTCGCTGAAATATTTTTTTTCTTTCCCTCTTGGTTTTGGGGCCTTGGCTCAAGTGGCTTTCCCCACACCAGGGGCACGGTCTCGGTGATGTTTAGCCTGGACATGGACAACATGTGGGCTCGTTTTTTTTTTTCTTCTTTCCCCCCCAATTTGTATTTTCTGCAGTGGATACCTACAGAACACACAATGGCACATGGCCGTGAGAGAAGGAGGGGAAAGGATAGAGAGCCCGTTGCCGGGAGGTTTTGCAGCGGTTAAGAGTCCGGAGGCATCGGCCGCGTTGGCTGGCAGGGAGTGTGGACGTTTGAAGAAACCGCGGGGGCCAGGGAGCCAGTCGTTGACAAACCAAAACGTAATGAAAACAACGACATCCAGCCAAAAACACCATGCACCCGCTGAACCGACAGGCACGACAGCACCCTCTTCCCAGCCCGGCCCCAAGCACTCGCCCTGCCGAGGGGTCTTTGGGTCCCTGTCCCTCTGCTCTGGACCCCAAAGCTCCGCCCTGTCTGGGATAGGCAAAGTCGCTGGTGGTGTCATTCAAGCTGCGCGTGTCACTTGATCGCAATCTACGAATCGCCGGCTCTAGGCCATGGCAAACACGCGGGGTGGATGTGGACGTTTTCCAACGACGAACGTCTCTGTCTTTGTTCTCGGGCTCGCGAGGTTGACGATGAAACCAGATTGCAAGGCGGAGATGCAGAAAACGAGGCTGGCAAGGCCTTTCTGTGACTGGCCGAGCTGTGCATACTTCGAAAGGAATGAAGGCGTGCAAGCGGTTGAAAGTGCTACTTTGAGTGATATTGTTGCTGTTGCTGCTGCACGTTGTGTCGGGTCTAGAACCAGCGGCAATCGGCGGCAGCAGCAGGGCTTCAGGTTACCCCAGGATGTTCTATTCGACGCAACAGAGCTGCGGCCTCGTCCGATGGTCTTGTGACCTGGTGTTGATGATTCCTCCCAGCCGGCTGTAACGTTCCCAGGCGGGAGGTCTGGAGTCTGTATGCGCACATTGATCGCAAAGCGACTACGTGCTTGGCATTGGCACGAGGGTGAAAAACTTGCCATTGGATCCACGCCGGGAGACTTGTGCTCCGTCTCCTTTGCCTCCGGCCACCGCGGCAGGTTTGTCTGCCGGCCCTCGGCGCTGCCCTAGAGCCGATGGACGGCAAACTCAATTCGAGTTGCCTGAGTAAAGAAAAACCAGACGATGCCGTGTCATTTAATAGCGCCTGTGACTGGTCTGGGCAGTAGTGACGTTTGCCTCGTTGCGCAATTGTCTTTACGCTCTGCAAGTGCTCCGCCAGGCTGAAACTGGTGCAGGATTGTGACTGGTAAGAATGCACCCCGGATTTTCGTCCAAACATCGAGACCTTGCAGAATGCTCAAGCCAGTCACATCTCGGCCTTTTCACATCAGTCGGTCATCTCCAGCCCCGTGCCAACACAAGCCTCGAGCAGAGGGCCGCAGCTCTTATCTTGACCTTTGCCCTCTTGCCCCTGCTTAGGCCGATGCCCTCTGTTTCTTGAAAGTCCAACGAATGCCGCAGGAACCAGTGCCTGGGATGTCAACGGGTGTCGTCCTGGCATCCATCCAGACAACCTTGAATGCAAGATTTGGCCCGGAAAGAGCAAAGTCTCCCTCGATGATTGGCCCATCTCGAATTGAGACCATCTGAAGAGCCGGCGGTGGCAATCCTGAAAATCTGGTTGGCCTGTTGCGGCGGAAAGAAAAAAGTTTACCATGCGCGCGGGCATTGCCGCTAGACAGCTCGGCAAACGGCGATCTGCATCTGCGAATAAACTCCGATGGCGAATTCCTGTGGATGACGCGCATTCAGCAGACTCTCCCTAGCCCCGAGGATATCCAAATGCTTGAGATGCGATGGCCCGGAGCCGAGGTGACGCCGATGACTGTTGGTCCCATTGTCATTTGAGCCATCCAAGCCAATCTGGTCTTGAAAACCGCTTACCGCTAAAGGGAGGCGGGCAGGGATGTTAGACGGGAGGATCAAGCTTTCCACTAGAACAACTCAAAGCAAGGGCAAGTCTGTTCCATTAGGGACCTATCTGTAGTGCAATGATTACGACGTAGGGCTATTTCTTGCCTCGAAACCCAAGGTTGTGACTGTGAGTATAAGCACTGGCTATGCATAGGGTTCTGTTCGGTTGAGCCGCTTGACGTCACGACTAGATCTTGCTTTTGGATGCGACCATGCCGTTTCGTTTGAATGGTTGCACGGCTCTGTTCCTGGACACCTCGGCGGTTCAGATGAGAGATCAGGCGTAGGCTCTGACAACTCCGGAGACTTTGAGCCTGTAGACATATTGAACGGCATTGTCTTGCCTCTTTATCCAAGATGAACCTCGCACTTCAGACGAACAGCCAGGCGAGCGCACATCATGGAGAGGGCCCACGCCCGTGCTAGCGCGGCAACCGGGTCACCTCCGGGTGCCCTAGACCTTGTCTGCTGTTAGGACAAGGTCCCCTGATTATCCACCTCGCGTCTACGACGTGTGCCTGCATCATCTACCGGCTTTGGCTCAGGTGCCGAGAAGCGGACTGAATGTGGCCAGGAGGTCGCGAGATCGTCGATAATAATCTCGGTGCCAATCCATACGCACTCGTTGCGTCGTTGGGTTCTTGATGTTCGTAAGATAATTGCTGTCTGGTGTTCGGCCATGCGTTTATCTAGTACAAAGAAACCGGGTTGGTATGTGTTCCGGCCTTTCGGTGGCCACGACCACTCTTACGAACGGCGGATGCTTTGTAGCCGAGAGGTCGTAGCGTCCTGCCTTGGTGGCCGAGGTAAATTGGGTATTACAACGTCGCAACTCATGGCTGCAGTAGGTGGAAGATGTAAAGAAACGACGAGCAGCCAGGATGTATTATCACAAGGTCTTATGACCCCAGGGCTTCCTTTGATAGACGTCAAACAGCCCCGATAGAGAGGTTGGTCTGATAATCTCGAGGAGCGTGCTCACAGTCATTTGTCAACGGACAAGGGTGCCAGTTAGCTGTCAAGCTGGCTGCCGTGGCTGGAGGTAAGGCGGAAATCCGGCTTGGCCAACACAGCCAGAAACCGAGCCTGGCAGCGTAAGTGCTATTCCGAAGCTGCAGCGTAATATTTGACAGGAAACGGCAAAAGGCGCAACGCATCGGAAGGTCTTGCGCATAGACCACGGCTCCCACACCGCAATTCGGGAGGCTCGCTCCAGGGACATGGCTTGAGGACTCTGACAACAGGGGAAGATGAGCAGATGCCATGGCACCCGGTTGTTGCTCCTGGCCGGCGCGGAGCGAACAAGAGGACGTTGGACGGTTCAGCCAATGGAGAAGAGGCAGATGGCATACGATGGGTAACACAGCAGGCGGGGATACTGCAGGTGAATTTCCGGCCGGGTGCGGATGGCTGGCGTACGAATGGAAGATGCGCTTTTGATTTGCACCAAAGCGCCCAGAAACGACCCAATGTGGAAGTTTGCTTTCACGGGCTAGCGAGAAGACGACCGTGGCCAAGCACGTTGGGCCAGGTAGGCGCTGTCAGTTGTCAAGGGTGAGATGTGGCACGGAGGAGCTCCCAGTGGTCAACGGGCAGGCCTGGGTGGCGCGGCCCCCCTCCCCCCTTCTTCTGCGAGACAGGAGGAGGTGCGGCTGAAGCAATGCGCCGAGCAGGCGTCGGGGAGTCGGGTTGTGTCAATGGGCACCGAGGGAATGGTTTGGCATAAAGTAGGCCTGCTGCTAAGGTCGGGACCGATACATGGGCGCGGAAATGGTTCGTGGACCATTGTGTCGGGTTGGGGTGGCTGTTGGGCGGGATGACGAAGGAGGGGGGCCGCTCGACATGTCTGGTTTCGGCATGATTCGCCGACTCTTATTGCCCGGCCTCGTGCGTTCGTGTCATGGAAAGCAAAGCCGGCCAGAGACGAACGACACGAGACGGTTGACGGACGGGAGATTAACTCCAAGCTGCCATGTTTTCGAACGAGGTCGGATCCAAGACATTGTGGGCAGATGCGACGGGCGGGGTGCCAGACGGGACGGAAGTGTGTGGCATGTGTGTGGTAACACACGGGTCGACGGGTTTTCTGTGCGGGAGGACGTGAGGAGGAGGAGGACGACGGATGGGTTGAGCTGCAGAGCAGGCGTCCTGCGTTCGAAAGGATACGTCTGCCATCCGAGACTGGCGATGTTCGGGCATCAAGCTGGTCGCCGATGGGTCAATCAGAACTGCAATCAGGTACGCATTAGTGAATCCCCGCCGCGAGGTGATGGATGATCTTGGGAAGGTAATAATGAAGTCCAAAGTACCTTACCTTAGGGTGTCTCTGAGCTGAGCTGGCTTTGGCGTACCTGATCCTTGTCGACTTTTTTTTTGCCTGCCCCGTCGCTAGCTGCTGTTTCCATGTTCTGCGCTTGTAAGGTACCGGCAATGCTGCAAAGTGCCAGCGGGGCCATGTACTCAGACACACAGCACTGGCTCGTCATGTCGAGAGGAGAGAACAATAGGAAAAACAAAGAACCCCGGGAGGAAGGGGCTGGCTCCGTCCGCATTGTCAGTATCCGAGGTCCCCGTAGAATGAAGCAGGCGTCTTCGAACAGGGCATCGTGTCTTTGCACTGCGTGTGGACGAGTTGACGAGGTGGCATGGCAAGGTGACTTTGTCCATGGGTACGTTACCCACCCGGAAGAAGGAGGCAAGAGGCGCGCCCGTCTACTCTATTCGTACAGTCTGCGGATGCTCGAGCCAGAGTCCGGCGGATGTTAAAAAAGCAGAGGATGGCGGGCCATGGCCCATCACCCGTTCCGCACTCTAGCACCGCGCATCGCTCGTATCCACCGCGACGGCAACCCTGGCACTCCATACAGCAGAGTACATTCAGGGAATAAAAGCAAAGAGGAATGGAAGGAGCCGGCGCCAGTGAGAGCGAGACCCAATGCCCAGTGATCTGTATGTACGGACAGGCACAGGTAAACCCCGCGCTGGCGGTCGTGTCAATGGTGGTCGATACCAGTCGTCCACCCAAAGTGGGCTGCCGCACAAACCGTCGGTATATCTGCATCAACGAGCGTTTGCCAAAAAAGAAGAATGGCGGCTTGTCTCATGTACGAGGGCGGAGGCAGGCGACGTCGACTCTTTTGCTCTGCCCAACCACGGAACCCGTGGGCATGATGTACAGCACGAGCACAGCACAGGCACGACAGCACACGACAGACACATGGCGGTCGCTCAACCAAGAGTCCCAAACCAAAGGCACCGACCCGACGACCTGCGGACTGTACTGTACTGGACTGTGCTGTGAATGTGACGACCGCGCAGAGGTACAGCATCAATCAGCTGGCAGCGATCCAATCCATGGATGGGGGCCCCTCCCTTGGTCTTGGAGCACCTGGGACCCTGCAAGCCCTGGTGCTGGTCTGCCGCCTGCCATCCCGCCCGCCCAACCGTGCAAGACAAACTCGACCTGTCTTTCCGCGTTGCCGCCACCAACCGAGCGTGCTGCGGTATTGCAAGGCGGCGCCGTGCCGTGTCGTGATGTCGTGCCGTGCTAGTGTCGGTGTCAGTGTCAAGAACGTCGGTTCTTTGCTTCCAGGTATTGCTGCACCTCTGCTTTCTGCTGTTCTTCTCTCGAGACTTGCTTGCGGGCTGGGCACCGAAGCAATCCGATGTACCTACAGTGAGTGTAGACTGTGAGGTGACAGAGAGCCAGTCAGTGTACCCGGCAGGTACTTCACTTACACTGTTCCTAGGTAAGGTGCAGACCCACCCCACGCCCGCCCACAACCAGGAAGATGCACACAGACCACCATTTGCACCCCTCCTCCGTCCAGAGTGCCCCCCTCTCTCTCCCCCATTTCCCATCTCCAATTGCCCAGTGACTTGCGTCGGTAGCTGCTTAGTTTTGTCGAGCTCCCTTGTCCGTCCATGTTCGTACCCTTACGCATGTGCAACCTTGTTCGGCCTTCCTTGGGTTGCTGCCTTCCTTCCACTTTCCTGCGGTACCGAAGAAAGCGTCCTGCGGTACTGCACCTGCGGCCTCTATGCACCTGCACCTCCAAAGCTCGAGCACCTTGGGAACCTAAAACATCCCGTCCTTTATAACGAACCCGGCTGCCCTGACCCGTTTCCTTCCTTGACCACCATATTTTCTCGAGACACGGAACCACGCTTCTCTCGAGTCTGGCAGTCCATCCCGCTAGGTACCGTGCAGTCCCCCTCTTGCTGCTGCACAATCTTCTTCCCGTGGCCGCGCCCGTATCCCGCAATTACTCCGCGCTTTGCTAACCCGGCGTGTAACGTAGCCGTGGCCTGCGATAACTTTCTTCTGCCGCTCTCGCCCCCCCACCTCCGCTCCGCGACGAGAACCCACGATCGAGCTTCGCAAAGAACCCCCGAAACCATGAACTACGACCAGCAACATCCCGCCTCTGGTGGCTACCACCATCAGCAGCATATGCCCCCGAACCCCTATGCTCAACAACAGCTCCCGCCTCCTCACCAGCAACATCACCCACAGCACCCCCAGCAGCATCCGCATCATGCCCATCCCTCGAGTCAGATCCCACAGCTTCCTCCCATGTCTTTCCCGCCTCCTGCGCCAGTACCATCTAATATGCCTCCCAACGGTGTCCCTCCTCAACACCCTCCCGCCGTCTCTTCTGGCCCCGCCACCTCGACTTCCGCGGGCCAGGGCCAGCCCCCCTCTTTCTCCAGGACAGACGACCTGGGCAGGCAATACGAGTTCGTCAAGCGTCCGAGCAAACCTCTCGAGATCATCAGCTTACAAAGTCCAGGCTTGTGGTTGTCCAACAACCCCAGAGAGCGCGCATGTGCGGATTCGGTGACAAGGTAAGCACGCCCCCTGTTAAATACTTGCCATCGTCGACACTCGTGCTGATGCTTCGTCTCGACAGGACCGCCGCCCCATTACCCCTCCGCCGTGTATCAGAGTAAAGGTCTTCAACCCCGAAACCGGTCGCGAGTTCAGTGTAAAGTTAGTTGGCCCCGCGTCTTCCAAGTTGGACATTGCGCTGACAGCCTGATAGCGAGGTCGAGCATGGGCATTTCATCATCAATGTCGACCTGTGGGACGAGAAGGCACAGCACGAGGTGAACCTCGTCAGGCACTCGAGCACAACGGCCTCCATTTCTACCACAACCCCGACTCCCTTCCACACGCTGAGGCAAGACCCCCCGGGCATGCCTCCGTACGCGGACCTGATACCCGGTTACGCGGCCGGTCCTGCGTATGGCCAGCAGCAGCAGCCCCCGCCGATTCCAGGGTATCAAGGGTACCAGCGTAGGTCTCTCGCGGCCCGCTGCATCAGTTCACGTGCTGACACGGGAAACAGCTCCTCCGACTGCATACACATCTACCAACGCCTCGTTTGCGCCCCCCACTCAATATTTCCCGAACCATGCCGCCAGCACCGTACCATCGCAGGCTGACTTGACGTACGGACACCGCCAGTCCATGTCGATGGCGACAAATCAGCCCCAGGGCATGTTCACCAGAAATCTTATCGGCAGCCTGGCGTCTAGCGCATTCCGCCTCAGCGACACGGAGGATAATGTCGGTATCTGGTTTGTCATGCAGGATCTGAGTGTCAGGACTGAGGGTCTTTTCCGGTAAGTACGCTCGCGGAAAGTCTCCTGCACTCCGCTAACCCGTCGAAGCTTGAGGTTCTCGTTTGTGAGTGTGGCGAAGCGCGCCGGACAGCCCTCCGCAGCTGGCTCTTTGGTCAACATGGGCAAGAGCAATGTCCTCGCTCAATGCTGGAGCGACGTGTTCCAGGTCTACTCTGCCAAGAAGTTCCCCGGAGTGTGCGAGAGCACCCCCCTGAGCAAGTGTTTTGCTCATCAAGGCATCAAGATTCCCATCAGGAAGGATGGTCCTTCGGACGGCAAGAAGAACAACGAAGAGGACGAGGAGTTTTAAAAAGGGTATTCTCCGTCGCATCACCCAGGCCATCCTTCCACGCGATGTGGGAGTCGCCCGCGCGATGAAGTAATGTTGCGTTGAATGGGCACGAAGCGCAGCTCTAGTAACGAGGCACGCCCGGGGAAAACGAGGCTACCAATATGTGGGCATCTGCATGATCTAAAGTGCCCGAGTATTCTGATTAGCACTCTGCCCATTCAGGAATTTAGTATAAAAATCCCTATTCATGTAGAGCGCTTTTCTTTTGAACCTCTGAGCCATTGCTGCTTCGTTGCGAGGTTCTTTGATTCAATGCCTTGACAACTAAATGAACTGATATGCATGGCTGCGGCTTAATTTTTCGCCCTCCTGTCACGCTTCTCGTCTGGGGACGGCTCTGTCTGCCGTAAGTTCTTAGTCTTATCTACAGCACTTCTTGCCCCGATCATTATGTGCTCTCGTTGACGACCTGGGGACAAGGCTTTGCTGCTTCCATTCCGGCCTACACACACTTCAGCTTCAGGCCAACGAAAGGGACAGGGAGAGTGACTTTTGCCTTCGGACCTGGGCCCGGAGTGCCCCCTCCCCCTCACTCGGCCGGGAGAGCAATCCCCACTCGGGTGCATACACGACGACGGCGCGGGCGGCCAAGCAGCAGCAGCAGCAGCCCTTCCCTTGCGAACAAGTAGCCCGAAAGTACTTCTGTGAAGGAAGACTTCCCTTACCTTAGTTCCCGTTGGGCGTGTGGAGAAGTTCAGCCCCCAAATGTGCCGAGGGGGTCTAGGTAGGTAAGTGATCTCTGCCTGCGCCGCAACAGCTGTCACGCACTTTTCCCGAACAAGGAGTTGCGTCTGCTTCTTTTCGCGGCGCTGGAACCCCAAAGTTTGGTGATCCTTCTTCACCGCCCTTGCGCGCGCGCGCGCGTTCCAGAGCGCAGCGGTGAGGGAGACAAGATTAGATGAACCAGAGCCAGAGGGGGGTTCCGTTGGGCCCTACCTTCAACGGGCGCCTTGCATGTGAATACGGACCATGTAGCATCCGGAATTGCCGAGTGAACGGTGATGGACGCACAAACGAATGGGTTGTCTCGACGAGATATCTCTAGTTTCGGCGGTTGTTGTCCAGTCGCCAATCTCGGGTGGGTTGAGTGTGTTCCGCAGCTATGGCACCGGAGTCTACCCTCCTGCGCCCTCGTCCGCCCCGTCCCGGAACCGCAAGCATGGCGTTGGTAAAGCCATTGCCGCGCGGGAAGCCGCAGCGGTGCAGATTATCCCCGCCGGATGGATCATGGGATGCTGTCGTTGGCGAGGCTGAGTAGCATCACCCCGAAATAACCGGAAGCATTCAAAAACACGCGAGAGACGGCAAGGTCTAATTCCGACACATCCATTGGATATTGAAAAACTACAAAAATGATGCCTGCAGTCCCTACTGCATGGCTCCAACGCCGACACGCCCAACCCGGGCTCAACCAACAACGCTCAACGCTCCCAAAGTTTTCATTGCTGATCCTTTCTTCTTCGTGAGAAGCCGCCAGTGACGTACATCAGCTGACATGGTCGCATTCCATCCGTCAAGACCTCATTATGTCGCCTTTATCAAACGCCATCTCGTTTCCATCTCGAGCAACAAAAGGGAAGAAGGGAGAGAAAAAAAAAAAAGCGGGAAAAAAAGAGCTGATAAACTGTACATGTTGGGGGCTTCCCCCTCCCCTGACCTTTATAGGATCATCCCATACCTCTTGCCCTGAATCATTCGTCGACCAGAGATCTCTCTTCTTTTTTTTCATCATGTAATACATGCCGCGGGAGACGAAATTGTCTCCCGGCTCATCTTGAGCGCGCAAGCAACCATCAGCGCGCATGTGCCCGACTGCACGCAGACCTTGGCCTGCCTATGGGTAAAGGAAAAAAAGGACTTTTGAAAACGCCGGCTGTGCGTATGCAAAGGGCTCTAGGAATCGGCCAGTTTCGCAAAGTGCTTGGACCAAATCCAACCAACTTGGTCATCAGGATCGTCTTGGTTCTTGGCAAGCCACAGCTCACCCTTTTCGGCAATGACATCAAAGATCTGTGTGAATCACTGTTAGCCATCTGTGGATCTCAAGACAAAGACGGGGCCAACTACTTACCTCGCCAGCTTGGTACGTGAGATAGGGGTACCCAGCCTCATGCTTTGTGGTTTCAATGTTGAACTCGAACAATGACGCTGCTAGCCAGAGCACATTATAGCCGTTGCCTGCTGGCGCCCGCTCTCGGGACGATGCTCTGGACGATCTCTGGCTCTCCTCGGTGCCGTCTGGCATGGGGAGTGCTGAGTGGAATAGGCCAGAGAACCGGCGCGACTCGCCACCTGCGTGCTGGGGGGTCTGATGAGCGGGATTCGAGTCTCTCCTCGTGTGCACTGTAGATTCAGAGCTCTGTCGGGGAAGGCCATTGGACTCGAAACTCTTGCCTGTTCCAGGCCGAGTCAACGAAGGAGGGATATTAGGGCGAGGCACCGGAGACTGGTCGCCTGTGACCGGAGATGGTGCCACCGACGGTCGGTGGCCATTGGCACCTGTGTAGTAGTCTCGGTAGTAGAACTGGTGCGGGCTGAGCGGGGTGGTTGATGGCGACAGGGTGAACTGCCCGCTGTGGCGCTTTGCAAAGTCCGGGGTGGGCAGCATCGGGGCATGGTCGCCGTTCACTGACAGGCCTCTGGGCCGGGGGGAGAGCTCGGCGGGCCGTGGTCGGAGCTTCGACGTGGCGGTGACGTCGTCGGTGCTCGCCGTGGTCGACTGTGACGTTCTGCCCTTGTATGCCGGGTTGAGGATGCCAATGTTAGTGAACATTTCCTGGGCGTACTTGTAGTCGCGCTGGAACTGCGCAACAATGTCTGCAACTTCGGGCGGCGGGCCCGTCTCTCCGGTGACCTTCTTGACCTTCTCCACCCAGATCGAGTACCAGTTGGCTTGAATGTTGACAAAGTTGCCCAGACAAATGTTGCCAATCTTCTCGGTCAAGGCCGACAGCTGTGGCAGCTCCTTCTTCAAGGTCTCGTTCAGGGCGTCATACTGCTCCACCAGCTCCTTAAGCCGAGCGTCGACCGTCTTGCCGCCCTTCTTGAGCTGCTCGGACCGCTCGAAATCGAGGCGGCGCTTCGAGCGCTTCTTCATCGCGAGGGATGGGTTGCCGTATGCTTTGATGACATGCTCGAATGGCTCGATAACATGCTTTCTCACTTGTTGAAGCTGGCCGACTGTTAGATGGGGGGGATGAGCAATGTCTCGAATGTTGTACTCACATGTTCTTCAAGGGCAACCTTTTCAATATCCCTCATGGACACGTTAAACTGGACCCATTTGCTTTCCAGCTCCGGGTAGCTTCCAGGCTGGAGTCGCATGACGAGTTCCATGGACGACAGATATTGCAAAAACTCGTGGACGTAGGCGCTGACTTGTCGGGTGTAGAACTCCACATCTCTGAGCACAACCTGCAGTCGGAGGTAGTCGTCTCCAAACTTCTCGTGAAGCTTTGCGTACACGGCATCCTCGGGTATCCTGGAGCTGGCAGCTTGCAGCTTGTCCACCCTCTTGCCAAAAGCTCGAGCAAAGCCGGCCTTGACATCAGACTCCTTCCTCTTGCGGCCGACGATTTGTCCCACAAGCTCAAAGTTCTTCTTGGTCTTGTTGATCTCAATGATGGCCAGTTCCAACACTTCCTTTGCCGAGATGAGCTCCGCTCGGTCAGGGTGGTCCTGAGGAGTGTGTGCCAGGAGCGTCATGATCAGGGTCGGGTATTTCGTGATACGCTGCATGGGCTTGATGAGGAGAGAGTCCAGATCCCAAGCTGCCGTGAGGTCCTTAGCCACTTCGTTGCACTCGTTCAGCCAGACCTTGACCGTCGGATCTTGCTGGATCTGGATCAACCGCTTTGCGGCGTGGTCGCTGTTCCTCAGGAACCCTTCATGTGCCACCCTCATGTCCTCAATGTGCTTCTTGAAGACGGGACCGATCGCCGTGGCTCTGTCCCTGTCGTCGCTAAGTTCAGGAGCAGCGGAACCGTTGGACGACGCTCCCTCAACAACAGCAGCCGCATCCTCTCTCGGCAGCGGCGACCGACGCGCATGAGGAACATACACTGACACCACAGCCTCCTTAAGCTGGGTCAGAAAGTTTGTGTGGAAGCTGATGATTTCGTCAGTGTTGCGGAAGATGAGCTTGATCGTCTTGTCGTCGAGTCTCGGGCAGGCCTCTGCCGTGCCCTTGTAGATCTCCTCCACGATGTTCATGTCCCTTACAAAGACCGCCTCCGTGTCGATGAGCTCCTTAATGACGTTTCGCCGCTGCACAAGCCGGTGTCTTTCCTTTCCAGTGGGGCCGTCCTTCAGTGGCGTCGATGTCGGCTCTATCGGCGTTTGACCGCCAAGAGATTGGTCTCTGGTCTCGATGGACATGTGGTCGATGGAATGCGGCGTGGAAACGGGCCGTGATCCCTCCTCACTTTGACGACGAGAGCCGACCAGGGTGCTGCTGGGAAGAGTGTCGGCGTAGAAACTGCTGACTGCCGTGCGCCGCGCATCGTATCCGGCCTTGGACGCGGGCACTGGCGGCGGCTCATGCTCGGGGCGCGGTACAGACTTGCGTTCTTTGCGTTCCTTTGGAGGCCAGGGGTAACTGGCGTCGGGATACGGGACAGAGAATCCTTCCCCGGTGTCCAGCTCGGGCAGTTGATGGATTGTGGCTCGTCCCACCGGCTGAGCCTCTCCAGATTCCGCCGCAGGTTGCGCTTCCGCTTCCGCTTGCGTGGTCGCGGGCTCCAAGGGCTGAGCGTTGGCGAATTCCGCGGTTGGGATATCGGGGCTGTAGTGCTGGCTTTGACGAGCGGACGAGTCTCTGCTAGAGGCATACAGCGAGTCAGTAGCGTACGGCGGCTTGGGCATGGGCAGCACGTCGTTGAAAGCCGAGATCCGGTGGTGCGGCGGGTCGTTGCTATCGACAGAGAAGTCGGTCCACGCGGATTGCTGGCTGACTCTAT